TTAGGAGCAAGTTGCTTCTTCTGTAAGACTTTGCTCCTCCCAAATGATGTCACTGTCACCACTTGTCTTTGCTGTCTTCTGGTCATTTGTGTTGCTTATTCTAATAATGAACCCTATCACCATAAACTCGCAGTATCTACCTTATTGACTTCTGTCTGCCTTTCTAGAACTTGGCCTCTAGACCTACTGTCTCTTCCATACCCTTGAAGCCTAACTGGACTTTGAGACTTGGTTCCCTCCAAGCTAAATGTGATGCTTACAAAATTCTATTTTAACATGAGTGCTGGTGAATCAAGTGCCTCATGGTTAGGGCTGAATAAAAGCTGGTTGATCTTGAATTTGTTAATATTGTAGACACTCATAAAATATAAATATTAATTATTGGAAACTGTAATCATTTAAATTTATGTACTACTTATAGAATGCATCTAATACATGGAAAGAAGAAATAACTTCTTCTGATCGGCTATATTATAGTTTTACCTTTAACAAAAGAATAGTTAAATATGTTAGGATTAACTGAGGATAGCAAAACTATTGCAATGCTAGAAAATAATAGAGAAGACCTGAGGGTTGGTATATGGGAATATTTTTTACCATCTTTCTGTCTGCTGGTATTACTTCTAGTTGTGGACAAGGGTATTATTCAAACTGCAAAATGTTATTAGAGAAGAGATTTCATAAGAAATTTGATCCATTTCAGCTTCTTTTAAAACATGAAGTATCAATATTTAATGCTATTTGTACCTAGGATTCTATTAAATATCCAATATTAAGGAGAACTCTCAGGAAATTGTAGCCTGGTGTTATCCTTGCAGAAATATGTTCTTATGATGGTGGTGATAAAGAAAAATTTATAGCTCTGGAGTAAGTTCTTTCCAAAATAAACTAGCTCAAATTCTTGACATAAAAATAACAATAGCTTGCATTTTATATATGGTGGTTTAGTTCTACAACCATATAAAATGATAGTTTATATTTATAAAGCACTTTGAGGTTTGCAAAAAGCTTTACATATATGATTTTATTTGATCTTTACAACAACTCTATAATGTATGTATTTGCATTCTAGATGAAGAAACTAAGGTAGAGGTTAAGTGACTTGGCCAGAGTCATTATCTAGTAAGTTCCTGGGCCAGATTTTGAGCCAGCACATTGTCTATTACAAGACCTACCTGGCTATGACAAATATTCCATTTCAATCAATTAGCAAGCATTTATTAAATGCCTACTATGTTCCAGGTACTGTGCTAGGTGTTGGAGATGCAGAGACTAAAAAAACCAGTTCCCGCACTGAAGGAGTTTATGTTCAGTCATGGGAAAAAGTTTAACACATCTAAGTAAATACATTTGCAATGTTAATAGAAGAGAGTTTTGGTTTGGGGGAACGCTAGTGTCTGGGGAGGGAAATTGGATATCACAATGTAGATAAAGAAAGAATGAGGTGAAGCTGACTGTGAGATTAATTTGATCCACAATGCCAGTGATGCAGGAAGAAGAGAGAATGTTTTTTAATGCTGTTGACAAGTCAAAGAATTCCCTTAATAACAGTGAAGGTGATTTAGAGGCAATTAGGAAAGTGATTTGGGAAAGTGAAATTCAGCAACTTTCTCTCAAACCTAGTACTTCTGCAATAGCATCCCCACCTTTTGTGTTAGGAGCCTCATTCTAATCAAATAGCTTTGACACGTGAGGGTCGTCCTTGACTTCTCCACCACCACAATTATATAGATCTAGTCAGTCAACAAGTTACCTTTTCCTCCAAATAAAAAATTACTTGGCCTTGGATCTTTTGGGGAAAGAGAAAATACATTATGGAAATGAAAGTAATAAATATAACATAATTTGTTTTTAATGAAGTGATACATTAAGACAATCTTGAAAGTAATGCAATTAATTAAACTCTCTTAGTAACTACTTACATTTATTCATAGATGCCTGAACTTGTTTACTACATCTGGAGGACATATTTTCTTCTATTGTTATGGTTTTTCCTGTTGATTTATCTATTTATGTTCAAGGTCTTTGAGTTTTCTTCCTGAAGTTCTTGGTAATTTCATTCCTTTCCCCTCCCCCCACCATTTTCTATATTGCTCACTTTCTGACTCCCTTCTTATTGTGGTTTCCTTGGGGTCTGGATCTTGAAGCATCTTGGCCTCCCATTCTAGGAAGTAAGCAGTTCACCAGGCTAGGCCTCTGTCACAAGTGACTTTTGAATAGTCAGAGCTGGCCCCAGCTGGGTGCCATGCTGAAGAGCACTGCGTGGTGTATACACACACACACACACACACACACACACACACACACACACACAGTGTCCTGTCCTGCTCCTTCTATTCTTTAATTCTTTGGTCTGGCTCCAGCAGTTCAGAGCTTTGCAGCTCTGGTTATAGGGGTTATGGTCCCTTGCAGGTTTTTGGCACCTTATTTCTGCCTTGGAGAGGTTTGAGAAGGTTGTGGGGATCAGAGAAAATGTCTAGTCCTCCAAGTGTTGCTCACATCATCTACTTACATTTAAATCCATTTCAATACATAAAATATAGTCTTAGTTATTCTATGTTTCCATCAACATTCTTTTCTTTTATGCTCTCCATTCTCATAACTGATAGAAAATTCTGACTAAATTTTTTTCTCATTTTATTCATGTTAAGTCTGTCCTCTTCCCCGCCCCCAAAAAAGTCAGAGTGTAACACATATGCACAATTCACTAGGAACTTGGAGCATTTTGATCTTCACAGAATGGCTTTCATTTCTGGGAATAGCATAGCAATTCAAGCAGGGAAAACTTTATAGGATGAGAAAGAAAAAAAAATAGTTGAACTGTGGTAGATGTGGGAGAGCCAGGGGATGAGGTTAGGTGTGCAGAAGTGAAAAAGAATATATTAGAAAGAGAAGAGGAATGAGGTAACCAATCAAGAGGTCTATAATCTGAAAGGGAAAAAGAAAAGGAGAAACAGTGTCCACATATATTTATCGAGCCTGCTACCGGGGACGGGAGCAAGTAAAACATGAGAGGAAGAATGGCAGAAGAGAGAACTAGCAATTTACAAGAAACAACATCCAAAGACAAGAGACAGAAGTTAAACTTATGGCCTTAAGGTATCTATGTACAAATGTACAATCTATAGCTAATACAAGGCAACCTATAGATCCTAATTTTTAAAAAATCAAATTTGACCTTAAAGTTATTGCTGAAATTTTGTGAGATGGAACTCGATTGGAAAATGGCACTGGAAGGACATGCCTTATTCAAAAGGAAGAGAATAGATAAAAAGGCTACAGGAGTAGAAGGGCTGGTTTAAGAGATGTAAAGAAATTGTGGCTCAGTAGAAGAGTGTGTTGGAGGTGGACAGAGAAGACCTGGATTCAGATCCTGTCTCTGCCATCTACTACTACCTGAATGATCTTGGGCAAAGTCACTTAACCTCTCCCAGCCCATGTTTCCTTTACCATAAAATGAGTGAGTTGGATTAGATAAATTCTAAATCTATGATCCTATGATTCTAAGGATGTATTTGGGTAAGGATCAACAGAGGGAGAAACAATAGTGATGACATAGGGGTCTGCTCCAAGACACAAAGAAGAGCTATAAATGGTGGCTTCTTTGCCCAGAGCAGCAGAGGAATAGGCTAGACTATGAGCTGTAAGGTCCCTTCTAATTCTGCAACTCTGTGATTAGAGGGCTATTAGGAAGGGGTGCCACATAATCAGGTAATTCTGGTAATGAAGCAGTGAGCCTTCCTTACTTTACACTAAATTCTACTTTGTACCAAGTAGGGTTATAGAAAACTTCTAGTATATATTATTTTTTTAAAATTATTTTTACCTATATCAAATTGCTTGCCTTCTCAATGGGGGTGGGAGTGGGGAGGAAGGGAAAGAATTTGAAACTTAAAGTTTTAAAAATGAATGTTAAAAATTGTTTTTACATGTAACTGGGGGAAAAATATTAAATAAAATTTTTAAAAATCTAAAAAGAATTATTCTGAACTTCAGAAACAAAGCAAGCATTTCTATAACATAGTAGAATAGAAAAAGATAATTGCGCATGAAAGTGTAAATCTATTATATACAACTTGCAATTCTTTTAAAATATATAATAAAGTTAGCATGTGACTTTTTTTCCCTTCTTTCTTCCCCTACCCCCACCCTACCTAGAGACTGCTACCATTAGACACAAATATGTGTATATATATATATATATATATATATATATATATATATATGTAAAATCTATACATGCTTCTATTTATCAGTTCTTTTTCTGGATCCAGAGAGCATCTTCTTCCCTGGGTTGTTTGTAGTTAATTTGGGTATTTATAATAACCAAAATGACTTATTTGCTCAAAGTTGTTCTTAAAACAATATTACTATTACTGTGTACGTTGTTCTCTTGGCTCTGTTCATTTTGCTCTTCATTATTTTTGTGCAAGTCTGCCCGTGTTTTTCTTTTCGTTTTTTTAAAATTAATTAATTTATTTTTGGCTAGGCAATGGGGTTAAGTGACTTGCCCAGGGTCACATAGCTAGTAAGTGTTATGTGTCTGAGGCCGGATTTGAACTCAGGTCCTCCTAAATCCAGGGCTGGTGCTCTATCCACTGTGCCACCTAGCTGCCCCTGCCCATGTTTTTCTAAGATCATCGAGCTCATCATTTCTTATGGCACAGTAGCATTCCATTGTGATCATATGGCACAATTTGTTCGGCCATTATTCAACTGAAGGTCATCCCCGAAATTTCTGGTTCTTTGCCACCACAAAGAGAGCTGCTATAAATATTTTAGGATATATTTTTCCTTTCTTTTTTCTTTTTCCCTAATAGTCTTTGGAAATAGACCTAGCAGTGGTATTGCTGGGTCAAAGGCACTTTAATGAATCTTTGGATGTATTTCCAGATTGCTCGCCAAAATGGTTATTAAAGATTCTAATTTACTTCCTTTGAGATTTTTTGTTATTATTAATAAGAATAATATTAAAACTAATCTTTTTTCTTATTTTCCAGGTTAACTTTGGGGTATACCTAATGCATGAGCCTTCAGACTCATCTTCCACACATCTCCTCTCAGTGGGATCACAGTTGCTTCCTGTGTTAAAAGATATAGAAAACAACTCTTCACCAAGCTCTTGAGGAGCAAATTAACTTCAGGATGATAATATTCAGGGCAACATTTACAGGCACAAATTGAGTCTTTCCTAGATGATGCCATGGTCCTCATTACAATTTGCAAATCACTCACAAAAACATACTGTCAACTCCGTTCTTCAAGAAGTGCTCTTAAGAAGAAAATGGACTATTCTACTCCTACAAAGAATAGAAGCTTGAGGGGCGTTTCCCCTTTTTCCTTTCCTGAATGATACCCCAATGATATCCAGAGTAGATTTATGCTGGTAGAGTAGGGGAATGAGATGGAGAAGAGAATTAGGCTAAAGGCAAATTAGGCCCAAGGCAAATTCTTTGACTTATATTGACCAGAGATGAACACAACTTAGTTACTCTAGCCTTTCCATTTTTAAACTATCTTATACCTACTAGATAAATATTCCAAAAACTATTTTCAGCATGTTACTCCCTCCTCAAGAGCCTACCATGTCAATGCAAACACTACTTTTTGGTCTTAAAGACCCTTCATAACCAGATTAAATTTATTGCCTTTGTAAATTGAAATGAAATATTCAACAAACAAAATTACATTCAAATCTTGGCAATATAGAGCCTTCCCTTCTAAGATTATCTTTCAGTTTTCACTTGTCTCACCCTTTTAGAATGGAAGCTCCTTGAGGGTAGGGACTGTTTTCACCTTTTTGAAAATATCTTCAGAGTTAAACATAGTACCTGGCATAAAGTAGGCACTTAATAAATGTTTATCCATTGATTCTATTACAATTAATATGGGTATATCTGTGTTAGGTAATTGGCTTGGCCTATCGAGGCCAGCAGTCATGGATTTAATTATTAGCCTATTAGCTTTACGAGGAGGAAAACTGTTCCTTAGTTGTGCAATATACTCTTTTCCTTGACCAGCTGTCTCACAAATATCTACCCTAAGTTGGTACAAGGAAGACTAAGTGATGAGGGCTTATCCTACAAAAAGTGGGTCAGCAGTTTTACACATTAAGAACAACACATTTGTATTTTTCCCCACATCCATTACGGACATTTCAATAGTCACTTATTTTCTTACTGTGATTTTTAAAAGATCAGATTTTAAAATCTTGATGCAATGTTACATTATAGAAGATACTGTTTTCCCCAAAATGTCCATGTTTGCTTACAATGCAGGCTTTTTATTGTTCTTCTCAAGAGGTTTTAGGATTAATTTTTTCTTATCTTGGTCTATTTCATAAAATAGACTCAAAGTAATAGTTAACAGCACACAACTGTAATCTCTGTAGCTTATAAAGTGGTTTTCTCACAGTAATTCCATGGGTAGATAGTGCAAACATTATCACTCCCATTTTACAGATGAGGAAACTGAGGTGCAGAAAAGTTGAGCCTCACAGTCATACTGCCAGTAAGTGTTGGAGATAGGATTCGAACCCAGGTTTTCTAGCTTGGATGTCCAGGACTTTTACCCAAATTTCCTGGTTTAAGAAGACTTCCCAAGCTGTTTTCAGTTCACCAGTTAATACTTTTGTTAGTAAGATTTCCTAGGGAGAACTTTATAACAGGAAATCCTAGGTAAATACTACTTAGTACAAATTAAATCCAGTGTCATCTGAAAAACCAATATTTCAATACATGGAGAGCCATTTTTCATATATGATGAGCTGATTTCTGCCATTTAAGTCTTTAGTGCTGAGACTCAGCCTGGTTGTTGATTAAGGAATGTCAGTGAGGGTAGATAATTAGAGTATACCAATCAGTATGAACACACAGTGTTGTTAGATTATACAAACAATTTTTCTATGTATATTATAAAAGCAAGTGATCTTAGATATTCAAATTGATGAGAGAGGGACTGAAACTTGGCCAATGGCCCAACACCAAGATTAAGATGTCATTTGTTCCTGTAATTCAGAACAAGGAAAGAACAATAGCCATTAGCCCTAAAGTATGTTACAGAATCACACCATCTTACAGCTAAAAAAAAAAACAACACCTAAAAAGCTGCCTAGCTATAGCTGGAGAAAAAAATCCTCGTTGCAACATCCATAAGGAGTCCTGTAGCTTTGCTTTAAGACTTTTAATGAGGGGGGACCCACTGCTTCCCAAGTAAGCCAATTCCAGTTTTTGAGTGCTGTGATTATTAAGAAGTTCTTTCTGACATCAAGACTAAATTTACTTCTTTGCAATTCTCACTCATTCCTTGTAGTTCGTTCCTCTGGTATCAAGCAGAGCAAGTCAACTCAATCCCTTGCTCTCACCTTCCCAACTTTGCCCTACTGCTCACTAATATTTCTTCCTTTCCTCCAGTCTTTGATGAAGAGGTGGCCCTTCTCCTTGACAATGCCAGCCTTATCTTCACTTACATCATGTCTTCTCCAGCAGATTGTCCCCTCAATCATCATCTTTCTCATTCTAAAATTCAATCTCTCTCTATCTACTAGCTCCTTTCCTATTGCATACAAACACTCTCAGTATTCCTCCATCCTTAATCAACTCTCACTTGATCTTACCATTCACTTAAGCTGTCATATTGTATCTCTCCTCTATTTCTTGACCAAGCCCCTTAAAAAAATCTCTCTGCATTGTTTTCGGTCAGTCATTTTCCTTCAAGTCTGTTTAAATTCCACCTTCTCCAGAAATTCTTTCCAATCCTCTTAATTCTAGAGTCTTCCCTCTTTTGATTATTTCCAACTTATCCTGTATTTAATATAACTTGTTTGTACATAGTTATCTGCATGTTTTCTCCCTGATTTGATTGTTAATTCCTCAAGAACAGGTATTGTCTTTTTTCTTTCTTTGCATCCCCACAGCTTTGCTCAGTTCCTACCACACAGTAGGTGCTTAATAAATATTTACTGGCTGACTCTGCAAGCTCTCTGAAGACAGGGCCTGTCTTTACTTTTTGTTTTTGTATCTCCAGTGAGTAATAAAGTGCTTGGCAAATAGTAAGCACCTAAAAAATGCTTATTCATTCATTTAGTCAATCAATAGTGGTTTGTTGTGTCAGGTACCATACAAGGCACTGGGAATACAAAAACAAAAATTCCAGTCTCTGACATTAAGGAGCTTATATTCTGTTGAGAAGAGACATCTTATACAGATATAAGGAAGGGTGGGAATTGATTGAGTCAATCAATTATCAAAGTCAATAAAAATTAAGGTGACCAATAAAATACTTTAGCCCTGATTCCTTTATCAGGTGAGATGACCTTTATTGAATCAATCAAAAGCATTTCTGTTAGGTGAAGAACAGATCAAAAGGACACATGTTAGTATTGGCTGAGCAGATCCCATCAGCTCTGTAGATTTGCTATAAAATAGTTCAAAATGCAATCATTCCAGTGTCTGGACAGTGAGTAGTGGAAACAGTGCCTTCCTTTATAGAGGACAGAAGCTAGATGATTGTCTTTCTTTTTATAAATTGTATCCTCAGCACTTAGCACAGTGCATAGCATGTCATAGGTGCTTAATAAATGTTTATTGGAGTGAATTAAAACAGCCCTAGCCAAGTCCCTGAGAAGGAACCATTTCAGTGGGAAGAGAGGAAGAGGAGAATATCTTTGCCTCCTCCCTACCCTCTTGACCAGAAGACAATCTTGTGAATTTCACTGACAACCTAGAAGTGTTTTTTGGAACAACAGTGATGAACAGCAGTGTCTGCATTTGGAGTCCAGGACAAACTAGATGCCAAGGAAAAAAACTTCAATATTCTTAAAGGACTCAAGCAGAAAAGCTCCACTATGTCTAAATCATGAGGGAATCACGAAGGGGAGAAAGGAACTTTTACTAAAATGATTTGCCAGAGCTGTGAGTTACCTCTTTGTCAGTGGGCTCACTAAGTTTGAGGCTATTCTCCCTAGAGAGTGAGGTGATCTTAAAAAAAGTAAGTTCTTGGTTTCACACATTTTTGTAGTTGGGGTTAATTTATGTATTCTCAACAAACCAAATAAAATGGGCATTTCAACATTCATAAATAACAGAGGAAGAAGATTGTATATGAAACCTCAGATCTCTATCATGTGCAGCTTACTTTTCCTTTAATATACATTTTAATAATTAATAATTAAGTAAATTTAATATAATAAATTCAATGTGCAACTGTCAAAACTATCCTACTTATCTGTGGTTCTTTTTTGCCTTCCTTCTGTTCTCTTTAAAACATTAAAAAATGCTTCAAAGAGCCTTTTTTCTCTTGTTTCCCCATCCTATTCCTATCCCCCTCTCTGATCCTCCCATTGGTAAAAAGAAAAAAAGAAAAAAGAAAGCAAAACCCAAGTGAAGCAAGCTCTCCATTGGCTACATCTGCAAATGTATGTTTTACTAGGCACCTTAGGTCCATCTGCTCTCTGTCAGTAAGTGGGTAGTATATCTTAGCGTCAATCCTCTGGAATCATGTTTGGTCATTATGTTGATCAAAATTCTTAAGTCTTTCAAAGTTGTTTTTCTCTATAATGTTATTGTATTGCTTTTTCTCCTTGGTTTTCCTCACTTCATCTTTTATTAGTTCATAAAAGTTTTCCTAGATTTACTTTGGGTCTTGTATCCTTTCAGTAAATATTCTTTTGTTAAAGCTGAGTTTAATTGGTTATCATTGATATTAAGGAGATGTAAACTGGTCAAAACAATACTGAGGCACTATTGAGAGGACATTAACTAGTGACTGCTGTTGAGAAGAATACATTGGATGGTGGCTGAAGAATGATAGTATTTGAAGGTACCTTCATCCCTCAGAGGTCCCCCTTGGATCCTAAGGGGAAGGAAATGTAACTTTACTCTAGGGACCTGCTAGTTTGTAAGCTCCACAAAGCAAAGGATTACATCTAATTTAATTGTGTATTTCCCCAGCACTCAGCACAGTGTTTTGCATATAGAAGGTACTTAAAATTTGTCAAAGTAAAAATGACATAAATTATTTTTAAAAATTAGTCCCTTCTGGCCTCACACACTTACTAGTTGTATGACTCTGGGCAAGTCACTTAACCCTGACTGTCTCCTAAAAAAATTAGTATTCCCCTAGCTATTAAGACTTCTTCCCACAAATTTGTCTTGTATTTTTAAAATATATGCATATTTGGGTACATATTTCTCCCAATAGATTGTAAGTTCCTTGACAGCAGGGACTATTTCATTTTTGCCTTTGTATTTCCAATGTCTAGCCTAACCTGGTGCTTGGTGCATAGCAGGTGCTTAAGAAATGCTTGTTTATTGATTGAGTAGATGAAGGAATAGACATATAGAGGGTGTAAGGCCTTCCTGACTCTCGTATTTTCATAGGTGTTTATCCTTTGCCAAGTTTCATCTTTTGCCTTCTGGAAGAAGTTGATGAGGATCAGCGAAGGAGAGAGAGACAGAGAGACAGAACAAATAGTAGTGCAATCATAGACCTTGCATTAATTACTCTTGTTCTGGGAATCATATGAATGATGATGTTCTGGGGGAAGAGGTTTGCTTGACTATCTAGCAACACAAAATTCTTTCTGGGATGGGAGAGTTAACCCCAGGATAGTACTATAAATCTGTAGGATTGTAAAGGTCTCTGGGGGGAGGTGCAGCACACTGGAGGAAGGGGAATTTCCTGACTCTTAAGCAAACCCAAGTGATTTCTTCTTGCATGAGTTCCTTATCCTCAAGATAATACTATAAGTCTGCCCCAAGTAGAAGGTGGGGTTCAACAAGAGGGTGACTTGCTTAAGCCTCTAGCAACCCCAAAATGCTTTTCCTATTGGGTCAGGAAATTGTCAGCTTCAAGGGTAGTATTACAAGTCTGGAGGACTATATAAGAGTCTGATAGAGGTAAGGCTCATTGGGAAAAGAAGCAGAGTTGTTTTGACTTTTTATGGGATTTTGTGTAAGTCCTTGCATTGTTTTTGTTGGATTAAATGGCCTCTCTTCTATGTGTTCTATGACAATATTTTTGCATTCCTCTAGGGACCTAGATACAAGCCAAGTTTTAGTGTTCCTTGAGAAGGGTGGAGGAGGTTGGGTGGAGGCAAAATGAACCAAATTCTGATGTTCCTAGGGGAAACCCTGGGTTGGGGCATGAGCCAAAAAAAAAGATGATGAGTATAAAGCTCCCAAGATTGAACCCCCTTTGTGTAAACTCTGAATTTCTGTTCTGGGCCATGAGCTATTTACCATAGGTTGTTGTGCAAGCCAAAAGAGATGATTAATGAGAAATTCACAAAATTGAACGTGGCCCATGAAAACTCAGCACCTCAGTTCTAGTCCACAGGTTACACATGGCATGTTATCCTGTTTGTAGATGACATGAAACTCAGAGAGTGGATAGCTAACGTTTTGGGTGACAAAGTCAGAATCCAAAAAGATCTCAACACATTAGAAGAATGGACTGAATCCAACGAAAGGAAATTTAACAGAGATCAGTGTCGAGTCTAAACTTGAGTTAAAAAAAAATATTAACTTCATGAGAACAATATGAGGAACATAGCATTACACAATAGCTTGTGTGAAAAGCACCTGAGAGTTTTGGCAGACTTCAGGCTCTATAATAATAAAATAATAATAAGTTAACACTCATAGAGAATTTATTATGTGCCAGGCATTGTTCAAGCACTTTACCATTGTTATCTCATTGGATCCTCGCAACAACCCTGGGAGGTAGGTTCTATTATCCCCATATTTCCAGATGAGGAAACTGAGGCAAATAGTAAAGTAACTTGCTGAGGGTCACACAGCTACTAAGTGACTGAGGTCAGATTTGAACTCAGGTATCCCTGACCTGATCCCAGTGTTCTATCCATTTTGCTACCTATTTAGGTAGTCATCAGTATGAGTTCGCAGGTAATAAAGCTAATTAATGCACACTTAGGCTGTATTAAAAGCATCAGCATTCAACATGGTGGGACAGTCCTCATCTCTCTCCTGGTTGGAGTTCTGTGTTCTTTTCTAGAGGCCACATTTAGGAAAGACTATGACAAGTTGGAGAAGGTTCAGAGAAGGGTGGCTAGGATGGTGAGAAAAGTAGAAGTCATAACATATGATGATGGGCTAAAGGTTCTGGAGATGTTTAACCTGAAGAAGAGAAGGGTTGGGGAGGATCATTTAGATGTCTTCAAGTATTGAAGGTGGTTGTGTAGAAGATGGATTGGACTTGTCTGAGGCACCTAGGCTGCACAGGGATAGAGTGCTGGGCCTGGGATCAAGATGACTTGGGTTCAAATCCCACCTCAGACACTTACTGGGTGTGGGTCTCTGGCTAAGTCTCTTAACCTCTGTCTGTCTCAGTTTCTTCAACTGTAAAATGGGAATAATAACAATACCTTCCTCCCGGGATTGTTGTGAGAATCAAATGAGACAATATTCATAAAACCCCTAGCACAATGCCTGACACATAATAGTTCCTTAATAAATGCTTGTTTCCCTCTTTCCTTCATTCCTCCATTCCTCCTTGGCCCCAGAGAATGGAACTATATGCAGTGAGTAGAAGTTGCTGAAAGGAAAATTAAAGTTTGAGATAAGGAAAAAAATCCTAACAATTAGAGCTATCTCAAAGTGGAATGTATACATATATGCAAATAAGTATTTTAGGAAATGATGTCATGGAGGCAAAGGAGTTATCCAAAATGCTGTGGAAAATTTTGAATAAGGACAGATAATTCTCTTCCTTTCCCTTCCCTTCCCTTCCCTTGCCTCCCCTTGCCTTGCCTTCCTTTGCCTTCCTTTCCCTTCCCTTCCCTTCCCTTCCCTTCCCTTCCCTTCCCTTCCCTTCCCTTCCCTTCCCTTGCCTTCCCTTGCCTTCCCTTCCCTTGCCTTCCCTTCCCTTCCCTTGCCTTCCCTTCCCTTGCCTTCCCTTTCGTTCCCTTCCTACAGCCAGGGCATTGGCTAGTCTTTTACTGAAGGGAAGAAAACATTACAACACATCTTGAATAAACTAATCCAGGGACTCAGTGACTCAACTTGTGGGGCACCAGCTCATAATGGGTTCCACAGCTTGGGAAATGCTGTGTCTCACCATGTGAAGCCAGAGCCAGATGACTGCACTATTGTCCTGTTCATAGATACAGCCCATTATTCACTTGTCAGTGGTGGAAGAGGCCAGTTTGGGTTCTCCTTAGTCCCTGGAGTTGCCTTTTGGGTCAGTATATTGTATGGATCCAAGTCATTCTTTGCAGCTATCATTATCTCTCTCCTCAAGCCAATAGCTTTCTCCTCATCAGAAGGTATACTTCCTCTGGGCACCATGGCAGCAAATGGCTGCCAGAGCCCAACCACCATCTCCAAAGCATCCCACCATAACCTTGAAGCCATCATATCTGAGACAACTATGACCAACAAATAGATAATTTTCAATTGAGGTACAGGGGAGACGAGGAAGGCTTCATGGAGGAGATGATATCTGAGCTGAGCCTTGAAGGAAGACAGAGATTTCAATAAGCAGAGTTGGGGATGATGTAAGTTCTAAGTATGGGGAATGGCCTGTGCAAATACACCAAGGTGAGAGAGAGAGCAGAGAAAAATCAGTAGAAGTCTAGTTTGGCTGGAACAGAGAATGGGTTCATTGGAATCTCATGAAATGAAGTTAAATAGATGTGTTAGAGGTAGTTTATGAAGGGCCTCTAGTGCCAGGCTAAAGAGTTTCTATTGTGACCTCCGGGCAATAATGAGCTTCTTGAGATTTTTGAGCAGGGATATGACATGAACAGAACAGTGCATTAGAAAAATGATTCTGGCGGCTGTAAGAAGGATGAGCTGGAGAGTAGAGATCCTGGAAGCAGGGAGACAATTAGCAAATTACCAAAATAGTTTAAGCAAGAGGTAATATGGATCTGCACTAAGCTAAGGACTATGTGATTGGAGATAGGGGGATACCTCAGAGAAATGTTGCTGAAGTTTAATGTCCAAGACTTTCCAAATGGTCGGATATAGGGGATGAAGGAGAATGGAAAATAAAAGATGATTCTGAAATTTAAAAACCTGAATGGCTGTCAGGACGGGGGTTCTCTCAATCCAAATTTTCTTCATTAATGGGTCAACGTCAGCAAGGAGAGAGGTCTCTACTGGAGTCCTCCTGGGATGTGTGCTTCACCTGTTTTGCTAGTCAACAGTCTTACCAATGAATAGGAAAAAGGCTGCCTGAAATGCTTATTAAA